GCGTTACCCCCAACACTTCACAAAACCATCTGTTAATAATGTGTTTAAATCTTCTTGCGCAGGACCAGCTTCTGTTCTGTGATGACTGTGATCGAGGATACCACATGTACTGCCTCAGCCCTCCCATGTCAGACCCTCCAGAAGGTACGAGCAATCGCTTTTATCATCGTTTACTCAGTCTCGTGTTGTTCCAGACTCATACCACTTTTTTTTCTTCCATTAAATGCAAAAAGAAAGACATTTTCAAGAAAGTTTGCGCCTTTCACTGCTGTTCCATTCCAAAACCGTTTCTGATTCCTGGTTCTGGAATCGATTTGTCCACTGTTGTTTTCTATTATTTTTTTCTTTATAGACTGGTAGAACGTGCTCACTTTATCTCGCTGTAACTACGTGATATGAAGGCTTACTTCCTTTTAAACTTCCTTTGTAGTCATTGATTATTATCAGCATCTGTTATCTCTTCATGTAGTACAGAGTGGTGCTCAAAACCATTTTGGGCAACAGAACAAGCCAATTTCATCCTTTAAGCTAATTAATAGTTTGTTAATAATTAAGTATTATTCTTTTTATATACTTTAGATCTCAGAACAAATCCGTGTCTGTGTCCATATTATATGTTTTAGGTACAAAAACGTTATTGTAGGAAACTTGTCTAAAGCATAGGCTAATCGATATTTGTCAGACGTAAGCTATTGGACATGCAGGATCACTGAATGAAACCGTGACAACAAAACAAAGTGAATTAAAGGTAATAATCACAAATGTGACCCTGGAGCACAAAAGCAGTGTTAAGTCGCTGGGGTATATTTGTAGCAATAACCAAAAATACATTGCATGGGTCAAAATTATCGATTTTTCTTTTATGCCAAAAATCATTAGGATATTAAGTAAAGATCATGTTCCATGAAGATATTTTGTACATGTCCTACCGTAAATATAGCAGAACTTAATTTTTGATTAGTAATATGCATTGCTAAGAACTTAATTTGGACAACTTTAAAGGCGGTTTTCTCAGTATTTAGATTTTTTTGCACCCTCAGATTCCAGATTTTTAAATAGTTGTATCTCGACCAAATATTGTCCTATCCTAACAAACCTTACATCAATTGAAAGCTTATATATTCAGCTTTCAGGTGAAGTATAAATCTCAATTTCGAAAAATTTACTCTTATGACTGGTTTTGTGGTCCAGGGGTCACATATGGCTTTAAATGTGAGTGAAGTGACGTGTGGCCAAGTATTGTGTCCAATACTTGGAATTTGTGCTCTGCATTTAGGCACCCATCCAAGTGCACACACACAGCAGTGAACACACACTCAGAGCAGTGGGCAGCCAATACCTACAATCCCTGCCGGGCCTGAGACTCAAACCCTCGACCTTCGAGTTACAAGTCCGACTCTCTATCCATTAGGCCACGACTGCCCCCTCTATTTATTTAAACAATAACATTGTTTAAATAAATAGAGGTTTGTGGAGATGAATCGGACTTCCTGTTGAAATTAGAGGCCAAGAGGTTATTTAAATGTTTCAGTGTGACATACCATGACACCCGGGTATATGTACATGCAACCATGTAAAAAAACCAGCTGCAATCGTATTTTTGAATTGCTTCATTGAACAACCCATCCAAAAGAACAGGTTTGTGGAGATGAATCGGACTTCCTGTTGAAATTAGAGGCCAAGAGGTGAATGAATGATTGGCTCTATAAACTGAAAAGGCTATTAAAGAGGATTTGCCTTCGAGGGAATCAATTCCAGCTGTTGGGATCGATTCTCGATTCCCAAAACCTTGGAATCAAGGAATCAATTATTTTTGGATTGGCTTCCCAGGCCATACTGAATGGGGACAAGTCTATCAATCTCCAAAATCTTCACAAAAATTTAGAACACACAAAATTGGTCCATATGTTTCTATATGCACATACACACAAAAATCACATATTTCATGACTGCTACCAGCAGAGTAAAAAAAAACTGCACTGAAATTTACTTTAGTTCTATATCCCTGAGATCCATAAAGCAGTAGTAAATTATCCACATGTGAAATAATATGCATAATCGGAGAATAGTTTTTTTTTTATGTGCCATGACGAGTCATTTTTTTAATGGGCTGAAAATCCTTTAACTAATTTGGTGTTTGGTGTAAAAATGGCATGTAAATTTCTATTATCACCAAATCTTGGATTCAATATTATCAACTGGCTTTCTTTCAGTTAGCACAGGTTTTGTATTTCTTTTTGTAACTGATTGGTCATAGGCCTCAATGATCTGAGCTCATGCACCTCAGTTTAAGAGTGAAAAAATCATTATCGTGGATAATGTTCATGGAAAAGCAGAGGTGCATAAGCTCAGATCAGTGAGGCCTATGATCGATCAGTGTACAAAACCTGTGCTACTTGAAAGAAAACAAGATAGAAAAACAAAAAACCTGAATCCAATATTTGGTAAAAATACCGCATAAGAATTTGATAAGAAATCTTTAAAAGGCTGGGCATTCTCTATGGGGAACACCACAAGTGTAACAAAGTGAAGGACAAAAATCCCATAAAAAGATTAATTTTTTTATTTTTTTTTTTTTTTATTAAAGTTGGATGTTGTTTATACCCTGTGTGAGCAAAGTAAGTTGTATTCCAATGTGATAACATTAACTTGCATTTTGGGAAAAAGAAAATCCTCTCTGTCAAAATGACCGGAACACAACATTGGGGTTAACATTGAGTTTTGCATGTAACACTATTGACTTGTGTGCTATATTTCAAGTCTTGTGATGCAGTGCAATAGCATTGCATTAGGAACAGACCAAAACAATAAAGTCAGAAAGCTTTAAAAAGCAATCAAATCTCATGCGTGTGTGTGTGTGTGCATATTCAAACTTATCTTGTGAAGCCACATCTTTGACACCAAAATGATTGCACAAGTTTATGCATTTATCGTTTTAAGTTGGTAGTAGTTATAGTTATGTGTTTGCCACTGATTCATATTTGGCTTTAATCTTGTTTATAGGAAGCTGGAGTTGCCACCTGTGTCTGGCTCTTCTGAAGGACAAGGCCTCCATTTATCAGAGCCAAAACCCCGCGATGGAGTGATAATGAAAACAGTCTAGCTTGAAGAATGTGCAGCCCTCACAATCCACAGACGGTCGTGAGATTTTACAGAATGATGGAGAGGTAGAAAGAGACATCATTGGCCCTAACATAGCCATTGTTTTTGGTTTTGATCTCACTATGACTGTTACACACATCACAAGCAGTGTTTGAAATGAAAGAGTGCATAAAGGAAAGGTTTGAAATGGATCATATACTGTACACTTCATGCATTATGAGCAGTATTTCCACATTCCTTGATGTTAGGGCCAGTGGTTCAGATGATTAAGCACCTGTTTATGCATTGCCAAATATTATTATTTTTTTGTCTCGTTCACTCAAGATACATTTGTTTACATAGAGCAAACATATGGCTTAATCCTTCACGGATGTTATGGATTTAAATATTCATTTGTACAAGAAGTGTATCTCTGTCTTTGTCATAAATGATTATTTCTTGTAAGTTATTCTTTCAGGAAGTAATTGTGCCAAGGTCCAGATTCAAACACCAGAAGATGGTGCTGTGTTTTTATTTTTTCTGTTTCTTCATTTTCTGGATTCGCTCATTTTAATTCGACAAAAACACTCTCATGAGGCGGGTTATCTTTCGTAGCAGAATTTTGTATGTGATGATATATAACCAATATCTATTATTGTTGACCATATTGAATTATCGTGAGTACTGTATCGTTTTGTATTTGTTTTTGGTAAATCATGTCAGATTGTATTTGGTATTCAATGTAAATGCTGTATTTTTCAGTCTTTTTTTTATTTACATTTTTCATATTGGCCTTTCCATAATAAACATACGTGTAACAGAGATATTCATCTTAATCATGTGTATTTTTTATGAATGCTACCAGCAAAGTAAATAAAAGCTGCACTGAAATTTACTACAGTACTCTGAGACCCAGTAAAATGTATACATATGAAATAATAGACATGAGGTAAGAGTTTTTTTTTTTAAATATCATAGTTTTTAACATCAAGATTTTAGATTAAAATGTATATAATTATAATTTAAGAGCTTATATAATGCGGGATGACGTTTTTTTACATAATTCTCACTCTGCTGTTACTACTAAGTTCATGTCTGCAGCTCTGGTACACAGTTTGTATGTTAACCTTCTGGTTTTGCTCACATGATGATCAAAATGTATTTCAATTAAATTAATATACAATATTATAATGTTTTACATTTACCATTTTGTGCTTTTATGCTACTAAATTATATTTATGGAATAGCTGTGGTCCATTTATTAACCACTGAGCATAGACCTGAAAATGAATCGCTTGAATGCTTTGGAGCGCAGACTTAGGTTTGGTTTGGTCTCTTTTTAAATAAGACACTCGGCAAATTATAGCTGAAGTGAAAAAAAAAAAGTTATAGAAGTTTAGGTTTGTTATTACAAAAAAATATACAAAATGCTATTTTTAAATTTGATATGCAATATTTATTTTCCAAAACCTGTTTTACTCTAAACCTACACGAAAATCAAAGCCGTAAATCTAAATAAGCTCTGTTCCAAATTTGAGGTTGATATCACAAAAATATGAGCTTTCAGTAAGATTTAGTTTGGGTTTGGGTTCCCATTCGTTTCCAATGCGAACAATATAAGTGACTATTTTCTTCAGGACCAGTTAACATTTTTGAATTATGTCCATGATTTTTATTTATTTATTTATTTATTTTTGTTAATGTAACAAGTGCCAAAACCTTTACCAAGTCTTGTACAATTAAAAAAAAAATGTTTTTGACCAAACATCACCAGAGGGGTTATGCTTGATAAAAAAACACCCAGATGCTACATTTTATATTTTGAATGTGTCAAGTAAAGCAATTCAGATTTAAAAACTGCTACATACCCTGCCAAGACACCGATTTCACAAACAGCTGCTCTGAACTTCATTTGATGCACAACTTTGATCTCTAGGATCTTTTCAAGCCCACATGCTCTTTGGCATCATCATAAAGATCTGCATTTGTCAACCAGTGCTGAATCACTGATATAATCAAGAGAGAAAACCCAACATCAACCATTCCCCGTCGGGGTCCATCTGATCCCCTTCTTATGCTCCTTCCACCTGCAGAGCAGCAGCGCCCTGAACGTGACCCGGAAGTGCTTGTTACAGAGCGCGTAGCAGACGGGGTTGACCGTGCTGTTGACGTAGCAGAGCCAGTATCCCAGCTGCCACAGGCCCTCAGGAACGCAGTCGTCACAGAAAGTGGACACCAGGACCATGATGTTGTAGGGTGTCCATGTTACAATGAAAGCCAGGAGAATGGCACTGAGGGTCCGGGCCGCTTTCTTCTCCCTGATCAGACCCGAGGTCCGGGCTTTGCGGGCCAGCGATCGAGCCGGGGCGTGAGAAGCACTCGTGGTTATAGGATTCATAGGTGAATTAAGCGAATTCTGACTTCCGGACTCACAGCTCCTCTTGGTGGCGTTACGGTCATTGTGTAGATCACTGACCGCAGTCTTATCCATCCGAACGAGTGGAATGTATTTGTTATTGTCGTCCACCTGTGGATGGCTGTCTGTGGGATACGAGCTGGACATCTCGTCTCTTTCCCTTCGTTTCTTCCACCACGCTGCTGTCCGGTGGGTGATGATTGGACAGATGGTCTTGTGCTGGTTCTGGTCCGGGTCCGTTTGTGGTCTGACATCTTCAACGCTGCGAGAATTGCTGTGACAAGATCTCTGGGAGACATATTAAATGACAAAAAATGTTAACATCTTTGTTCTTTCATCAGTAAATAAATATCAAGTATTAGTTTACTTCAGAGCTTATTTAATAACCCTGTGAAATCCAAAGGAGTAGTTTGTTTCTTGTAGTCTAAAGCTGTGTCCGAAACCGCTCCCTATCCACTATAAAGTGTACTATATCAGGTGTTAGCCGTTTTGTAGTGCTGTCCGAATTCTGAGTGAATGACTTCATTCCCTACATTCGTTCACTCCTTTCTAATACGTGACCCTGGAGCACAAAAGCAGTGTTAAGTCGCTGGGGTATATTTGTAGCAATAGCCAACAATACATTGTATGGGTCGTATTTTCTCTTGTGGACTATAATATAAACATGAAATATCGTATTCAGGTCCGTACTAAAAAAAGAACATGCATTTTGTATGATCCCGCTTATTTTGTTAAAATAATTAACATTTTGCAGATCGATTTCAACTGTAAAAACCAAAGTTAAGTCAAAATATTAATGAATACAGTAAATAAACAATACTAAAATAACAATAGATCTCACTAGCAATAGCATGTAGCACATCATCTTTCTTTCAGGTTGCACTAATGCTTGCAACTTGTTTCTTTTAAAAAACATAATTTTTCTTGAGAAAATTGTTTTTATATTTGTTTTCTTTTTATGGTAAACATAGTTTCCCCCCCATTCTTTTATGTAATCCTGGAAGCTAAATTATTATTTTTTTAAATCCAGTTTCTTAAATTATCCTCAGAGAAGTCATTCTAGAAGAAAAAAAATAGCAGTATTAGCAATAGATGTTTTAAATTCTGTGTTTTGTGTGATTGGGTATTTGTTTGTCTCAGTGTACAGCACTACATCCTGTTTAGTCAATGTATTTTTACACAGTGTTATTAATACACAGTGGCCACAATTTAACAAAAAATAACTAAACTAAAGTAAACTAAAACCAATTATTAAAAATGAACCACAAATTAATAAGCTGTTGGAAGGAATTTGATTGCTAATTTTTATTTGGCGATATATATTATGTATAATGCTGTCAATCGATAAAAACAAATTAACTAACATTTTAAAATTTTTCTGTAATTAATCACGATTAATTGCATACAAATATATATATATATATTGTCATAATTTCACATTGTATCTCCAAATTAATGTAGAAACAACATAAAGAAGGTGTATTTAAAAGATGTGTTTAATGGCATCTTTTTACTAAGTAGCCTGTTAATTAAGGTCAGCATTAATTATAGCCATTCAACATTACAGTATAATTTACAGCCAATATTTTGATCATTTAATCGGCTTTGAAAAATATAACAACTTTTAATTTGAGTGAACTTAAAACAATCTTCACAAACAATACACTGTATATGCATAAACTATAAATTGAAAAAAAGGAAGATGCATTAATTGCATTTAAAAAATCTTTTTTTTTTGTTGTTGTTTTTTTTTAGGAAGAACCATTTTTGGTTCCCTAAAGAACCTTGCACCCTTCAGTGAACAGTTCTTAAAAGAACCATTTCTTTCACATTGTAAATCTAAAAACATTAAGAACGTAGGTTCCATGGTATTAAAGGTTCTTTATGGAACCACTGATGCTAACAAAGAACCTTTTTTAAGACCTAAAATGTAAAATAATAGACGAGCCCAGTTGAATCCCACCTGAGATGCGTTTCCCGTGCGTCCTCCCTGTGAAGCGATGAGTCCAGCGAGCTGCTGAGAGCGTTTCTCTGTCTCGCGGTACACCCGCCAGTACAGCGCCACCATCACGCTCACCGGCAGGTAAAACGCAGCGATGGCCGTCCCGAATGTGATCACAGGCTGAGACAGGAACTGCACTGAACACTCTCCCTCTGGAACAGTCCGTTCACCCACTATATACTGCCAGAACAAAATAGCTGGAGCCCAAAGCACAAACGAGACGGTCCACGCTAGAGTAATCAGCACCGCCGCTCTTCTGGGCGTTCTAGTGGCCCGATAGGTCAGAGGTCGCATGACAGAGAGGTAGCGGTCCACGCTGATGGCCAGCAGGTTCATAACAGAGGCATTGCTTGCCACATAATCCACAGTCAACCACACATCACAGGCTAGGTGTCCTAAAGTCCACTGGCCGATCAGGATGTAGGTAGTGTAGAGGTTCATCGAGACGGCGCCTAAAATGAAGTCAGCCACGGCCAAGCTTAAGAGGAAGTAGTTGCTCACTGTCCTCAGGAGAGGGTTGACTCGAAAAGAGATCATGACCAGAACGTTGCCTATGATGGTGATGATGGAGAGTGGGACGGTTATGAGAGTGATCATGGCCATCCTCCAGGTGACGGGACCAGAGACCGCCACATCTGTCCCGTTGCTTAAACTGGAGAGATTCGGTGTGAATGAGGTGCTGTTCATCATGAACTGAAGGTGGCAGGATAGATGAGATTATCTTTGTGCTTTAAAACTCCAGTGCATGCTTCATATCGCATCTTTTAGGGGATTCCTGATGTTTGATCATTCTGCGTAGACAAAAAAGACATGTGACCACAAAACCAGTCATAAGGGTCAATTTAATTCTAATTGAGATTTATACATCATCTGAAAGCTGAATAAATAAGCTTTCCATTGATGTATGGTTTGTTAGGATAGGACAATATTTGTTCGAGATACAACTATTTGAAAATCTGAGGGTGCAAAAAAATCGAAATATTGAGAAAATCATCTTTAAAGTTGTCCAAATGAAGTTCTTAGCAATGCATATTACTAATCAAAAATGAAGTTTTGATATATTTACGGCAGGAAATTTACAAAATATCTTCATGGAACATGATCTTTACTTAATAGCCTAATGATTTTTGGCATAAAAGAAAAATCAATCATTTTGACCCATGCAATGTTTTTTTAATTTAATTGCTACAAATATACCCCAGCGACTTATTTTTCAACATAAACTAACTAACCTTTACTTAATAAAAAATGTGATTTCCGCAATGCAGAAAAGGCAGATGGAATTGCAGACTCCAGTCATGTCATTTATTGTATAATGTCACAGAATTTGTCAAATTTTGGATAAATAAATCAAAAGTAGGTCAGTACATTATTAATGAAATGGCGATATTTCTGTGAATATCAAACAGCAAAAAGATTCCTGCACATATGAATCCTGCATGCTCTGTGTCTCTGTGTGAATGAACGGCACAGACGTGAGGTTTCAGCGTCTGCCATCTCACTATATGGGGACATAAACTCATGAATTTGATCTCCAGAGCTGCTCTGAGAGTCACTTCATGAGCATTTTACCGTTTCTTTTGAGAAAATCTCTCCTCATTTCACATACACACAGAAACTGAAGGTCTTCAAGGTAACCCGTCAAAATAAAAGTTCGGTTTAGCTTGAAGAAATTGTGACAGAAATTGTGACAGAATGTACATCTTAATGTAGTAGTAGTAATAATAATAATAATAATAATAATCACAATTTTTCTTCCATGTTTTAATTTTTACAGTATGTTTGATTACCATAAAAATGAAAATACACAACATTTCACAGGGCCTCATTATTGCGAGAAAATTAATCAATTAAGTTGTTTTTATGAATTCAATTAAGTTTGATTATTAAAATTTAATTAAGCCATTAAAATGGAATCTAGAAAAATTAAAAAGCTAAACAGAGAATTTGTTAATAATTAAACAGAATTTGAGAAGAAAAAAAACGGATATCATAAGGCTCTAAAATGTCATTTTTCTTAAACTTTTAAGAAATTGCTGTAACATTGTATATGTTTCATTATTTAAATTAATTACACATGCTTCTTGATTACTAAAATTTAATTTAACCATTAAAAGTCATGAGGGTCATTAGGGGCCCTCTCTGTGACATCATTTCCTGTTTTATTTTTCTGAACTTTTCGTTGGTTAGACTTGGTTGACAAGACTTTTTTAAATAATAATTTTGAATGTCTTTTTTTTTTACATTCTGATATCAGATATTTCAACCTGACATTTTTCTTATCTTATGCCCCTAAAAATATCAAAATGAATTTTAATGCAGAAATTAGAAGCGCCGCTGTATTTCGTTATAATGTATATTTTAATAAATTAATAGATAAAACAAAAAACTGAGCATCAGGTCATTAGTGCTTTACTTCTTTGAAGCCTTTATTTGATCAATGTTTGTTTACTTTATGATTACAAACTAAAATACTGAGACTTTTTACCCTGGTGATGATGACTGTAAGGAAACTAAAACTATACAGTATAAAAATTTTCCATCAAAATGATTGGTCATGATGACTGCAACAATAAAATACTGAAAAAACATCCGCCATGACCCTTAATAAGAACAGTAACCTCCCATTAGTACTAAAGTCAGGGAGTATTTGTTCATGTTAGCCTGTTTATTGATGGCCGCCTGAAACACACGCTAGCCAGCGCTGCAAAGTCAACATCGTCATCCTGAAATGTATATTTAATTTACTTGTGCTATAGCAACTCAAGGCATAACACTGTCTCGCAAACACTGTACAGTCACTGTGTATTAAAGCATCTGTTAAATGCCAGAGTACATTTGTTGTTATATAATCATAGATGTTTTTACAGCAGTCGCCTCACAGGAGTCAGTCTGTTAAAGCTAGCAATGAAGTGAATAAATGTAAAAGACAGTGGCATTAGGAGTACGACTTCTAGGGTTACTACACTCTCAGAAAAAAAGGTACAAAAGCTGTCACTGGGGCGGTACACCTTTGTACCTAAACAGTCCATGTTAGTGCCTTAAAGGTACATATTAGTACCTAAAGTGTACATATTAGTTCCTAAATGATACAAAAAGTGTGCCTTCTGAAAAGGTACTGCCCCAGTGACAGCTTTTGTACCTTTTTTTCTGAGAGTGTATAGTACACTATTAATATAGACTAATGTCGCTTGCTTTATAAAAAAGACTTTAAGTACTTGACAAACAGCACGTTCTAGTCCACGGATACAGATCCTTTTTCTGAATGCCGTGGTTAATCCCGTTAGACAGGTTCCTCTGTATGAAAAACCATCACTCACTAAATGAGGAGCATGGAGATCAATGAAGCAAGTGTGGAAAACAGGTCAGTGCAGACCACTAATGTGTCCACATTTGCTTTAATTAAAGATTTTCAAATAATAATGTAACGATTAGAAAGCTATGGTCATTCTGAAGCCTCAATCTGTTTTAGCCAATGCGAGCATACGATTAGACTTATTGCAACAAATGTACATTAAATGCTGAATTTTGAAAGCTAATTGTGGTCTTATTTTGGTCCCATACACACTTCAGTCCATGGGTTAACAAATGTGAATAAGTCCCTCTAAGCCCCTCTAATTATTTCAACAAAGGAGCACACAGTGTCAAGAAAGGGTCAAGGACAAAAAGGTTGGGGGTAAATGAAAGAACTGCAGAGGGTTTATGAGTTAATGAAAAGATCATATTAGCCTAATTAAATCAGAAAAATGTCAAACTAACATGCATACATTAAATTACGTTTTTACATCTTGTTTTTATTTGTTTACCTGCATGTCAGTGTGACCATTAATCGAGATCAGAGAACTGTGAACATGTGAATTTATTAAAAATTATTAAAATATTAACATGGTATAGTTGACTGAGGGGTGCTTAAATTCAGAGGCGTGGATCACAAATTAATTTATTTTTATTTGTTTACCTGCATGTCAGTGTGACCATTAATCGAGATCAGAGAACTGTGAACGTGAATTTATTAAAAATTATTAAAATATTAACATGGTATAGTTGACTGAGGGGTGCTTAAATTCAGAGGCGTGGATCACAAATTAATTTACCTGACATTTACCTAGCCATTCGATATTGTGAGTTTTCAAAGCTAAATGATATGACACACAGTAGAATTTTTGAGAAAGGAACATTTAAAAGAGAAAAAAAGAATCAATAAACTGCATATAAATCATTTACTGCTAATGTGTGAATCACTTGTAATCGTGTAATCCATAATGTAACTGTGATCCAATTATGAGCATTTTAAAATGTAATATAACCAAATTACAAGTACTAATATTTTGGAATCTGATTATGTAATCCAGATTACATGTGTTTTGTTACCCAGCACTGGTTTTGAGTCAACTCTCCAAAGTATGTTTTGCGGTTATTTTGCATGTTTTAAACTAAGAAAATGTTTTTCTCTCTGAACTAAAATTCCAGGATAGTTATATCAGACAAGAGTCAATTATATAATTAAGGCAGATTTCAATTGGTTGAGATGTGCTCTCTAGAGTGTTTATCACAGTCGTCAAGCTGGGGCAAGTCCTCACACATATTTGAATGTTATAAGGTTATACAATTGATTAATAACACAAATTATTTGTTGTTTTCAAAATTTGGCTGAAACGCATGGGCTGTTTAATGGCAGGCTACATTGTGACAACTTACCCCACACAGTGTGAAAATATGCCCCAGGACTGCATTTTGTAAAATGTCCATATTTAACTGGTGCATCTACCCTCTATATTCAGGGTAAAAGTGTTGATAATCAAGCTGATAAACTGCATTTTAAAGCACTAAAGCATATCCTAAAAAATCAAACAAAAAATAATGAATGCCTTCAATTTTCAACATCCTTTACAGTCTATGGTTAACATTCAGTCCTCAAACAATAACTAAACAGGAGTGTCACGACTTTTATTTTGACATCGGCAGTGAGTGTACTTCCGGAAGTGCTCAGACTGCAGCGATGGCATCCTCTGCAGATGTACACATCCGAATATGTGAACAAGAAATCATCAAGTATGATTTAGAAATAAAAGCTCTCGTTCAGGTATTAATGTTTTATTGTTCATATTTATAAAACTTAAACATTACGATTGTTGTCATATTAGTGTTGTTTTGGGGACAGTATTAAAAAAAAAAAAAAAATAGAAATGCTGATGAAATTAATGAATTACAAGGACCATAAAAAGCTACTAAGTGACGAATGGCATTTTAATGTTATTATGGAAAATTAAGAATTTTGTCGTTTGTTAGTGCCATGTTAAATGATCATTTTTATGTGTCTTGCTAAATATTCTTCTCCTGTAACTAGCTGCACATATTGATCCATATCATGTTTTCAAACATTGCAGGATGTGAGTGAATGCACAGGACCACAGAGCAAACTGACAGATTTCAATTCACAAGTAAAAGAACAATTCTGCAATCTTAGACAACGGATTCAGGTGAGAAACAATGTGTGCACATTTGCTGCTTATTAAGCGAATTCTAAACTTAAGACCTTTTTAAACAGGATCTGGAGCAAATGGGAAAAGAACAGGACAAAGAGTCTGACAAGCTGACCCTACTCAATAAAGCAGAAGGACATCGGAAACAGATGCTTAGGTTCTTCTCAGTTTCAATGCATTTTATAGAGTAATGCACAGTTTGCATTATTCAAGTGGAAGGAGTGCAGTGTAATTGGTCTTAAATGAAGAGTGTTTTTCTTGCAGTAATCAGACGGCTTGGAGGAAGGCCAATCTCG